TCTTTTTAGGTTTCTCTGGGTTTGGGTAACCCCCCAAATGATCCAAAATGAGTCTTGCTTCCAGAACTGGCTTCCCTGGAAGGACTTGGGTCCAGAACGATTTTTTTTGAAAGCAGGGCCCACGGCTCTTTTGCTGGTGCGCACTTTCAAATACAAAATCCTTGTCATTGTACGCGCCTCGAATCACGCTCCCCCCAGCAGGAGTCCCCGAAAAATTGGGACCCAAGCCACCCCCAAACCGCCGCAGTCCCCGCCTCGGTTGCCTCCTTCCGCGCCTCGTCCTCCCTGATCTGCTCCAAGAGAGCCTGCTGCAAGCCGGCTCTTTGGGGTATTGCATCCGGTGCCACGAAGCAAGGCCAGGCCTCTTCGGGTGTTCTCCATTTTCTTTGGATTTCGAGAGATGGAGTACATTGACCATCAACTCGGGGCTGAGTCCTTTTTGCGGGAGATCCAAAAACAGAATCCTGCAGCGGCTGTTGGGGCGAAGCCCCCCCCCCCCCGCCTCCCCCCCGGCGTTCACCGAATGATTCCTAAAGCTTGCCACCGAGCCCTCGCTCGGTGGCTGGTTGATCAAAATGCACCCAGAAAGAGGCCCTGAGGCAGTACCGAAGCCCGGGCCTCCCTCGTGATGTTCGCCTCAGCTCAGTGCTGGCGTCCCACGGCCAAACGGAACGTGGAACGGCATGGTTCATGTTGGGCTTTCTCAGATCTGAGTCTGGAAGGAGGCAAACGCTGAGCCTGCTAAATACATCTTGGTTCGACTACGCCCCCTCTGAGACGACCGGTCGGAAGCAAGACGACAAGAGTGTGCAGGAAAATGTGGTTTGTAGCTCCGCAGATGAATTATTCTCTCTGTTTCCATCCCTTTCTGGGTTGGGTACTTAGCCTTTGGGTGTGAGCCACCTCCAAAACAACAAATCGATTCACAAGGAGGATGCATTCCCAAAGCAGCAAGCCCGGGCCCTTTTTGGCCTTTTGCCAAGAGACGTTCTTCTCCTTCATGGCGTCCAAGCGCTCACAGGTGTGCTGGTACCGATGGCTATCGCACAGCACCCGGCCGCAGTCGCTGCACCAGAAAGTGTCCTTAGCCACCAATATCTCCCATCAGTCAGCCGCAGCACCTGGGATAAGCCCTGGGTGTCCTTATGAAGGTCATAGCGGACCAAAATCGATGAGGGCTACAGGACTAAGGCCAGGAAAAAATCACGGAGCTGCTCGGTCAACCGCGGATTTTGAGGTTTCGATTGGTGGTTCGCTGGTCGTGCCGCTGGAAAGGGGGCAATCTGACCAGCAATCTTCCGAAGCTTCCCTCATCAACTTCAGTGTTTGGATTGAGGGTGAGGTTCGCCACACCTGAAATCAGCCACATCCAAGCCAGCAAGCGTCAGCAAAAGGATCCGGCGGCAACGTCTGTCACCTTGCCAAACAAAATATCGAATTGCCAGAAGTCATCCTTCACGCGGACAACCAATTGGAAGCCACTGGCATCTGCGCAGCCAAGAGGCCATCATGCTCTTGACGATAACCTGCATGGCAAGGGCTGGCCGTGTGCATACTTACAAAAAATCCCGCCACAAGCCTCATCGCCACTGAGTTTGGCAGTCGTGAATGCTAGAAGGGGCTAGCAGGTTAGCAGCTGGCATGGAGCAGCAACACCGTCTTCGGCATGAAAGAAAAGAAGTCAACCACCCCAACGGGCAGGCAACACAAACAAACGAACATAACACGTGGAATTTGTGCTTCCCTTTTAGCTGAAACATGTTCGGCAGAGTGCCATAAACTGAAACAAAGCAACTGAGTTGTCCAGTGGCCAAGGTGCCAAGGTCTCACCGTTTCAAGCAGCAAAGCATGAATTCATGTACCTAACCAGCGGTGCCATCAATTGGCTTGTAAAATTCTAGCGTGTCCCTTGCGTTACTTCTCCCGCACATATTTGCCAGCAGCTTCTCTTTGTGCGTGGTTCTTATTCTGTGGCTTCTCTACATGGGCGCGGGCTGCCCCTTGGTTGTCAACTATTTCGCGCTTGTTATTCCATGATATTCCATGCATCGCCCCTTAGTTCGTGGTTGTCAATTATTCCGTGTTTCCTGTTCCATTCTTCCGCCGAATCTCAGAATGGTTCGCCGCCCAGGCGCCGCCATGGTCTCCTTGTACCTCTTCGCCAGGCCGCAGCTGCCGCCGCACTGGGCACACTTGGTCTTCATGAAGGCCTGCCGCTTAGGACCCACACACAAGCCAGCCAACCACCCCCCCACCAAAAAAAAAGTGACCAACCTACCAAACAAAACCAACCAACTAACAAAAACAAAAAGTGACTAGCCAACCATCCAACCAAGCAAAAAGTGACCAACTAACCAAATTGCCAACTAAGCAGCTAAGCAGCTAAGCAACTAACAAACTAACTAGCCGACCAGCCGCCATGGTCAAACGACCCAGCCGGGTGTGGGGCATGGGAACCCTCATGGCTGACCGTGGTGCTGCAGGGGTTACGGCTATCACTCACTCAGAACCTCCCAGCCCTGGCTGACATGGAAAGGGGTGCTTCAATTGTTGAACAAGTAAGGTTGCACCCTTCCGCCCCAGCGGGTATCGGTGCCAGATTAGGGATACGATGTGGAAACATGACACTTTGCTAGGGGATGGAGGTGTTGCACTGGCAGCCCGCGGGCGACCAACATGGGATCAACTACGCTCCAGCCATTCTCCACGCCCCCAATCCACGGGCGCACACACAAGCATGTTCCTCCGTGGTATCACGGCTTAAAAAACAATTTGTGGGGGATCTGACAGTCTAGGTGCCCTTTGCGCAACGACGCATGCTTGCGGTTGGCCATTTAGGGTGAAGAACAATGACAGCGAAGAGTGCCAGGTTTCAAATGCAATGCTAAAGGACACACGTATGGATGAATCAATGCAAATGCACCATGTTTAGGGTGCCTTGTTTGAACTGTCCCAAAGTGGCGAAGCATTTGGCCTTTCAATCGTTTGTCTCTTACCGTGCCTTCTTGTCTTTCAAGATCAGCTGCTCCAGCTCCTGCTTGTTTCTCTACATTTGATGTCAAGACGTTGCCATTTATCTTAGGTCAAAGGTGACATCCTAGTTTTGTCTACTTTCTACCCTGTGATCAGATGGGCTCGTTGCCTGGTCCCCCGACTACATCCGATTCCGTTGGTGGACGGATGGCCGGCCCCATGGCTGCACTCGCCGAGTCGCGTCTGCTGCAAGCACCCTGGAAAGATCTGGAAAGTGGCACACTGCTTGCCGGCCAAAGCAAGTAGGCCAACTCTGTCAAACCTAAGCCAACGCCAAAAAGGCAACACATCCATGACCATCAATCATTAATGCAAGTGAGTGGTGGGGCTAGTGAGGCTTATTTTGCCAAACTTGCTAACAGGAGCCAGCTGTTCCAAGTAATTCTCAGTTTGTTGTGCTGAGTTTGCTGGGTTTTCAGTACCGATTGCAAGTTGTAGCGGGCGCTTTGAATTGGCATCCTCCCAAGTTTTTGCCTCGACAACGCGGTGCAGCAGTAGCAGAGGTGTGGATTTGCGATGAGCGCGAGAACTCACATTATTTAACGTAGTGGAGTCAAGTAAGCACGCCATCTTGACCAGTGGGCCTCTAAACGCACATTCGACTTTGTCGCTTCGAGTCTCAATTTGTGAGGATGCGGTTTCAGCACGGAACCCATCTCTTTGCATTGAGCCCCTTCAAGTTGTTGGAGTCCTCCGAAGGCTTGGCAGTGAAGCTGCTGTGCAGTTGTATGGGTTCGATACAGTGATTTTGCCATAAGCTTGGGTCTGCGCCCAAACAAGTTTTGCATCAACTAGCACTTTGCGGTTCAAACAACCAATTCCAATCCCGGTTTCAAAACAACACATCGCCATGTCCGAGAAGCGACCTGCGAGACACGCCCCAAATCCGGCTCCGGGATGGATCAACAAAAAAACTGCCTTGGGCATGTGGAGCTCCCTGCTCCCAGCCCGAGCTCCTCGCGCCCGAAGATGCCTTCCGCGGCCTCGCCCTCCCGCAGCCGCGCCGCGGCTTCCATGGCGCGCTGGCGCGTCGCGATCGGCGCCTCTTTGGGGTGCCGGGAGAGGCCAGGAGCAAGGCTCGCAGCAACCAAACTTGCTGAGAGTGCAAGGTCTACCTCCCCAAGCTCAGATTGATCATTGCACTTCAAGCACATTAATCAAGTTTGCTAGCAAGGTCAATCGCCTGCTTTGCAGAGAGTTTCCAACAACCCCTGGAAACAGAATGTCTCAATATGTAGCTCTTGCGGCTGTCAAGGAACTCTGGGAAACAGCTCGTGCTCCTCTAATCAAGCGTGTGGGTTGGCAAGAAACACAAGGCCATTATTGTGGTGGGCCGAGCTGAAGGCAATTGCGTTTCTGCGATGGTGATATCCTTGCAGCTGCGTAGGGATTGTTGACCCATTTGCTTCTCGCAATTTGAGCTAGGCGGCTGGAGTGGTTGGTGCGGGTTGGTGCATGGCGGGCTAATATGAGCGGCAGTGGCCCTCCCGGAAAGGGACAGATTCACAAGATGGGCCTCGAGCCACGGAAGCCTACGCGGAGCCTACGCAGAGAGCCCGCGCGGATGGGGAGGCAGTTCTGTTTTGAACTGCATGCAGGGCTGACTTTCAAAGGAACTGGCATGCGAGATGTCCAATTCACCAAGTGTCAAGGTTCCAAGGCATCCACCGCGCAAGGGTAGCGAGGAGAAATGAGTTCAGATCCCGAACCTCGCCCCCGGTGAACTCGAAAATCGGTGAAAGAGTGGTGCCCCTGCAAGTGGGGAGCGGGATGGGCTTCGCGGGGGCTAAAGCAAACAGGCGGTGGACAGTCATGTCACCAGTTTCATGTTGTTGTTACTACCATCTTACCATGCTGAAGGCTACCGGTTTGAGACATGTACAAAATTCCGCACAGGCGCACTTTCCTCAGCGTCCGACAAGGGGACCCCAAGGCCTTGACGGAGTTTCCGGGACTGAGATGCCGGCTGAGGGCATCCTTGCAACCAATGCCCTTCTCGCTGCAGCACCACGTCATCTTTCCTCACAGAAAATGCTTCCTTTTCAGCTCCCTTTTGCCCCCCCCCCCCTCCCCGGCCCGGCCCCTAATTGGACGCAGAGTCTGCTGGCCGGGGGATAAATGTCGGGGAAAACTCAATCTGAATGACAACCTGGTCCATTTTCACTCCAACCTTGCACCTAAGCCCAGGCCCACTCAGTCAGTGAAATTGGCGAACACGGTCCCTAGCCCGTCCAAGTATAAAAGGGAGAAATCGACCTAAGTGAATCCATGACCGCCGCTCGCAAAGGACCTCCGCGCGTCCGAGCCCAGTTTTCACTGGACCTCACTCCAAGGCTGCGGCTCTCTGACCAACCTGGCGGCTTGCGGCCGCAGGAGGACGCTGCCGAAACGGTTGCCCGAAACGGCCACAAGAGCTTCCTTGAGCAGTGGCCAGAAGGGGGCAGCCAAGAGCTTACTGCTGGGTTCTTAATTTTCGGTGGGAAGCCAAATGAAAACAGGCTTCGTGCCTGTAATTGGACAACTGAGATCTCCAAAGAGGGGGTTGGAAACCTCCAACCACCTTCGTCTGGGAATTGCCCGGAACTATCTACTGACAACAGGAAGCAAACACCAAATCATTCAAATGATGGCACACGCCAGTTGCCCGGCCGCCCGGCCCCCCACCCCAGCCTTTCTGCCAGTTCTCGATGCCAGCTGCGCAATCGTACCTGCACGAAGACATGACGCACCAGACCAACAGGTCCCATGAAGCAAGGGTGTCTAGAACAAGTCCCCGCACAAAAACTCCAGCCAGCTGAAAGCTCAAGATTTGCAATCGACTGAATCGTATTTAACCCAAAGGACTTCAATCTTCCCGGAAACACCAAACAATATCGATTAGGGTTTCCGGATGGGAGGCATGGTGCCTTCGTCGACTATGGCCTGCCATGGCCCCGGCCTTAAGGCAAAACCCGCACATTTTTCGGTGGAATGCCCAAGCAAAGGCAACCAACGTGAAGGCCAGGCCCAATACAAGAAGCTGATTAGAGCTAGGCCCAGTTATAAAATGTATATTTTATTGTTTGCTTCGCTTTGAGTCACTGGTAAAACGTAAAATGTATCCTAAGTCTAGACAGGAGAAGCTGATTCACCATTGGGCCGCGTTAGGGATAAGAGGTCCGATCCCGTGTCTAGCTTCAGTTCGCGCCCCCCTTTCCCAGGCCAGCTCTCAGAGGGCACTTGGGCGGCTTCTGAGGGAATGACATCCACATCTCAGCAGGCAAGGCCAATTGTCTTAAACTGTTGTTCCCAAATCACGGTCAACTTGTCTGGAAGGGCGCCCACCTCTTGCAACATGGTCGATTGTCGCAATTCAAAGGGTTGACGATACAAGTCTGGCAGTTGAACAATCGAACTCACCAAACAAATAAAAACAATTCAATTAATCGACACACGTGAAAGATTGCCTTGCGCGGTTTCAGCAAGAATAGCCAGCATTGGGAAATCCGAGGCTCAAACTCGCAGATTCTTGCCCACAACGCGCGCGCGCCATATGCGTGAAAACCCTGATACTTCTCCTGTGCGTCCCAGGGGCATACTTTTGTGGCGGCTCCGGGGCTGCCTGGCATCGTCCATTTGGCATGCATGCTACTCGTATCACATAACTACGCTTGCATACATCTGTTAGATATCACCTGCCAAGATATGCAGTGTAGTTCCGCAATCCGTGCCATACACTGCATATGAACAAGCTACCAACGACGCACATACAGGGACCCTGCATCGAATGTGGTTCACTGATGGCGTGCGATGGCATTAAGATAAGGCTGATTCGCTGAGCGTTAACGCGCCAGGCTCGCAAGGCACAAGTTGGTCAAGAACCAAAGCAACAGTTTGGCCCATGCTCATGTCTAAAGAAGGTTTCACCTACAAATCACCTTAGCTAAGTCAGGAAATGCGCATGCCGTGAGTGACTCATTGGCTTGAGATGTCCCCGGACTGGGCAACCTGCGCCAGAAACGGCAAGCCCGGAAAGTCGAAGGATGGCACGCAGGTGGATGGTTCATTGGTCACCCAGCATCCCCCCCCTCCCCCCGCCGTGGTTGTGCACCTGGGCGCAGGCCAACGTGTGAAGCATCAAATGCATTCTTCAAACACAACCGTGGAGCCTTGCAAACTGATGGTCTTAATCTAGGCATAAGCTATGGCTAGGTAGCCCCAAAACACAGAAGCGCCTCCAGGATTGCAATCAACGCTCCGTGGCAGCTCGTGGCTTCTACATGTGGTGCCTGTTGGAACTGGAAAAAAGGTATCGGCTAAGGTCAGCATGTTGCCAAATGCCAGGGGGGAACCCATCGGAAGTGCCGAACCAAGCACTTGCCAATAGTGCATCCAACAGCAACCCACAAAGGAAGGCACCATCAAGCTATTGTTATGAGATGCTCAGCTGGGAAAAGGCTTGGATCGCTGATGTGTTTGTTATATACTATTACTTTTATTCCTATGATTAGTATTAAGAAAAAAGTATTTTTAGTGTGTGTTCATGTTATTAGCAGCTGTGTTGTTACTTTGTGTCATGGTCCTGTTTTTGACAAAAACATATGTTCATATCGGATTCCAGGGTCCCACAATAAAGGCAAATAAGCAAAATGACAACAACATGAACAAAGGAACACCATCAAACTGAAAACAACAAAACAACAAAAACATAAAATGAAATGTTCCTCGAGTGGTTTGCCTCGTTGGCAAAATGAAAACAACATGAACTAAAATGAAAATAACATGAACATGTCCGAGTGTTTGCTTTTTGCCTTCCAGGGCCCCAAAATGGAGGAAACCGTCAAAATGAAAACAACATGAAACACATAATGAGTTGTTTCGTGCCTTCCGGGGTCCCCAAATGGAGGAAACCGTCAAAAAAAAGTAAACTAACAATCTCCTCAAGTTGTTTGGAAAGCTCAGCAAAATGAAAACAAACAAAGACAACAAACTATTCCTCGACACATGAAACTGAAATGAAAACCCGAATGAATGTACATGGAACGCCCAACTGAAAGTTGAATAACAATATAATTGCGTTGCTTGCCCTCAGGCTGTGGCCCTAAACATCCCTAAACATCTCATAAAGCTATTGACGGAGTGCTTCCGTCTCAAAAGCAGAAGCTTTGGGTAAGTTCAGTCAGAACCAGCAACAAGAAAGCAATAGAAATGCCGCAACCGCATCCAAATTCACTGAATGGGACCGCATGGTGAATCTTGAAGCTGAGCATTTCTCAGCATAGAACTTCTGAAAAAGGCTTACGTCCTGTTGGTTCCCCTTCAAATTCATCCGGGGTCCACTTTTGGAGAAACCTCATATGCCCTGGGGTCCCCTGCCCAACTTCTTTGTGCTCGCAGCACCATACCTGATGGGCGTTCGACCTGGGGGCAGCCACGAAACAAAAGCAGTGTCCATCAAATAGATGCCCCCTTGTTCAAGAAACCTGATCTGCCGATTTCCACCAATGGCAAAAGCAGAACGTGTAACATGCGATCGGAAGTCAAAGGCAACTTCTCCGCCCATTGCTTTATGCAAACCGCTGGCCCGGTTTCTCGCAGGCGCCCGATGGAACTCCACAGCTCATGTGCGTGTAAGCCCCAGGCCAAACGGACCTGTCATTCGACGTGCAGTCATAAGGGTGAAGGATCTGGTCGTACTGCCTGATGCGTCGTTGCTGAGAATACCACTCAACTCTAGACGTTCCCGGAATGAAACATGAGGCTGGCTTTAATTCCAGAATCATGACACAAAAGCATTCTTTGGAAGTGTAGTCGGCAATTTCTTTTGCGATGTGTGCAACATCGCTCCTCAATGGCCTGACTTCCACATTGCGAAGACAAACACTTTCGCGAAACCTGAGTTGAATGTGGATGGCGGGGAAAGGCACCAGGCGCAATTGTTTCAACAATGACCAGCTCCCAGCCTGCCAGTGAGGTGATCTGCAACCGACTCCACGTGGTGTTGCAAATGGTCCGAGTAGGCTTGGCTTGCCTTGCCACATGCAGGCGGCAGTTTCATCCCACGGCCAGTTGATGCAATCCGGTCAAGGAGGTGAGTTCAAGAAACCGCCGGAGAAACCACTGGAAGAAGAGGTAACGCACGCATCGGGGCAGAAGCAAGCAATGCCCAAGCAGCAAATATGCCTAAAAAAGCCATACTTGAATATGTGGCAGCCGCAACCCACCGTGGCCCAACTGGCTTTCATCCATCCCATGTCAATTTGGGTGTTTGGATTTTCCAATCTCAGCAGGCGCCCCAATGGCATTGCAGTGGCCACATCTATGCACCTCTTCACCTGCGGTAGCAGAAAGCGTATTCCTCTAGTCTTGCCTGCATCATACTGTGCCATGCCCTTAGTCTAAGTGCCAGACCCATCCCTGGGCGGCGCCCACATGCCTCAGGCCAGACAAATAGCGTAAGATGTGACCATCCTCACGGGTAGGACATCAGAACGAGGTTCCCATGACTGCCAGAGATAAATTCTGCCATGAAGTTTGGTTGCGAAGTCGGTGCCTCATATCTCGTGGGACTCCCGGACCAAAAAAAAACCGAAGCCACAGCTTCTGGCGTCCTCAAGACTTCAAACGAATGCATTCATCGCAACCGAGCAGCCAAGCCGCCCTGCCAACTTTGATGCAATTTGATGCCCCCTTTCCGCCATCTGGAGCAAGGCCGCGGCCCAGCCAGGTGGTCATTGTAAGCCGTCTGGGCCTGCACAAGGCTGAATGGCATTCAACATGCTCTTTTTGTCAGCGGCCAAGCGGATTCACGTCAGGTTCGGCCCCAAAGACCCGGTCACTTCGACTTTGCCGGGTGCTTCGGCTGAACTGCAACCTCTACACATTGCTTCCAGGCGCAAACGGTCTGGAGTCAAACTTTGCATAGCCCGTCTCAGTGCCCAACCCAGTTGTGGGCAGCATCCACGTGCCTGGGCATGCAAACGGAAAGCCTCAAAGTAAACTGCGCCATATGGGGGAGGAAGGAGTTGGTGACATCACGGCCAGATGCCTCAAGCCCCCTAACGCTGGCTGGGAAGACTATTTGCCATGAAGCTTCGTTGCTGAACGCAAGCCAGAATGGTCGGCCAAGTCCGTGTCCATACATCCCGTCGGACTCCCCAAAACTTCAAACAACGGCATTCATCGAAGCCGAGCAAGCAAGCCACGAAGCCAGCCACATCACAAACAAACTTAGCCTTGCCAACGTTGATGCAATTTGATGCCCCTTCCACCATCTGAAGCAAGGCCGCAGCCCAGCCAGGTGGTCGTTGTAAGCCGTCTGGGCCTGCAAATGGCTGATGGCATTCAACATCTTCTTTTTGTCAGCGGCCAAGCGGATTCACGTCAGGTTCGGCCCCAAAGACCCGGTCACTTCGACTTTGCCGGGTGCTTCGGCTGAACTGCAACCTCTACACATTGCTTCCAGGCGCAAACGGTCTGGAGTCAAACTTTGCATAGCCCGTCTCAGTGCCCAACCCAGTTGTGGGCAGCATCCACGTGCCTGGGCATGCAAACGGAAAGCCGCAAAGTAAACTGCGCCATATGGGGGAGGAAGGAGTTGGTGACATCACGGCCAGATGCCTCAAGCCCCCTACCGCTGGCTGGGCAGACTATTTGCCATGAAGCTTCGTTGCTGAACGCAAGCCAGAATGGTCGGCCAAGTCCGTGTCCATACATCCCGTCGGACTCCCCAACCATAATAAAACGAAGCAACGCGCGCTGGCGTCCTCAAAACTTCAAACAACGGCATTCATCGAAGCCGAGCAAGCAAGCCACGAAGCCAGCCACATCGCAAACAAACTTAGCCTTGCCAACGTTGATGCAGTTTGATGCCCCCTTTCCGCCATCTGGAGCAAGGCCGCGGCCCAGCCAGGTGGTCATTGTAAGCCGTCTGGGCCTGCACAAGGCTGAATGGCATTCAACATGTTCTTTTTGTCAGCGGCCAAGCGGATTCACGTCAGGTTCGGCCCCAAAGACCCGGTCACTTCGACTTTGCCGGGTGCTTCGGCTGAACTGCAACCTCTACACATTGCTTCCAGGCGCAAACGGTCTGGAGTCAAACTTTGCATAGCCCGTCTCAGTGCCCAACCCAGTTGTGGGCAGCATCCACATGCCTGGGCATGCAAACGGAAAGCCGCAAAGTAAACTGCGCCAGTTCCAAGCCGTTTGGGGGAGGAAGAAGCGGGTGACATCAGGGCAAGATGCCTCAAGTCCCCCCCAATGCCGGCTGGGAAGACTACTTGCCATGGAGCTTCGTGGCTGAACGCAAGCCAGAATGGTCGGCCAAGTCAGTGCATACATCCCGTCGGACTCCCCCAAACTTCAAACAATGGCATTCATCGAAGCCGAGCAAGCAAGCCACGAAGCCAGCCACATCACAAACAAACTTAGCCTTGCCAACTTTGATGCAATTTGATGCCGCTTTCCGCCATCTGGAGTAAGGCCGCGGCCCAGCCAGGTGGTCATTGTAAGCCGTCTTGCCCTGCACATGGCTGGATGGCATTCAACATGTTCTGTGTGTCAGCGGCCAAGCGGATTCACGTCAGGTTCGGCCCCAAAGACCCGGTCACTTCGACTTTGCCGGGTGCTTCGGCTGAACTGCAACCTCTACACATTGCTTCCAGGCGCAAACGGTCTGGATTCAAACTTTGCATAGCCCGTCTCAGTGCCCAACCCAGTTGTGGGCAGCATCCACGTGCCTGGGCATGCAAACGGAAAGCCGCAATGTAGACTGCGCCAGTTCCAAGCCATTTGGGGGAGGAAGAAGCGGGTGACATCAGGGCAAGATGCCTCAAGTCCCCCAATGCCGGCTGGGAAGACTACTTGCCATGGAGCTTCGTGGCTGAACGCAAGCCAGAATGGTCGGCCAAGTCAGTGTACATCCCGTCGGACTCCCCAAAACTTCAAACAATGGCATTCATCGCAACAAACTTAGCCTTGCCAACTTTGATGCACCGCTTTCCGCCATCTGGAGTAAGGCCGCGGCCCAGCCAGGTGGTCATTGTAAGCCGTCTTGGCCTGCACATGGCTGATGACATTCAACATCTTCTTTTTGTCAAGCGGATTCACCTCATGTTCGGCCCCAAAGAACCGGTCTCTTCAAACGGTCTGGAGTCAAACCTTGCATGTCCAGGCTCGGGCGTGTGCGGTTAGAGGGCCGGGCTCAACCCTGAACCGGGCTTATGTTGGCACGCTCCCCAATGTGTATGCAGCCCGTCTCAGTGCCCAACCCAGTTGTGGGCAGCATCCACGTGCCTGGGCATGCAACCGTACTGCGCCAGCTCCAAGCCATTTCGGGGAGGAAGAAGTTGGTGACACAAGGGCATGATGTCTTAAGTCCCCCAACGCCAGCTGGGAAGACTATTCTGCCATGGAGCTTAGTGGCTGAACACAAGCCAGAAAGATCAGTTTGGTCGGCAACTACTATTATACGAAGCGACGGCTGCTGGCGTTCTCAAGACTTCAAACGACGGTATTATCGAAACCGAGCAAGCAAGCCACGAAGCCAGCCACATCACAAACAAACGTAGCCTTGCCAACTTTGATGCAATTTGATGCCCCTTTCCGCCATCTGGAGCAAGGCCGCAGCCCAGCCAGGTGGTCGTTGTAAGCCGTCTGGGCCTGCAAATGGCTGATGGCATGCAACATCTTCTTTTTGTCAGCGGCCAAGCGGATTCACGTCAGGTTCGGCCCCAAAGACCCAGTCTCTTCAACTTTCCTTGCCTCACCTTGACGACTCTTTTTCAATTGCCTCCTCGGCAAAACCAAAAGCTTCTGCATAATGGCTTCTGCCAGGCTTGCTCCCTCTGCACATCTCAGCGCCCAACCCAGCTTTGGGCGACCTCTGCGTGCCTGGGCTCCATTGACACCAGAGGCGGCAACATCGCCCACACAAAAGCAAGCCCTCGAAAGTACCTGCAAGGCAAACCAAATAAGAAGCAACCCCATTTAGTTTGATCTATCTAGCTTGTAAATGGAACTGCCGGAAGATTTGCTTTTGTAAGGAATTCCCGCTTGTTCACAGTTGATCAGCTGACCGACCTCAGGTTAGCTAAAAGAAAAAATCCGCGTCGGAGGGCCACTCTCCAACACACCGTCTGATTCGCGGCAACTTGCATGCTTCGCTAGGCGACAACTGGAACTGGCCATGACAACTGCGCAAGGAAGCACTCTGAGGCGCTAGCCCGGCCAGCTGACCGTGCGTCGCAGGGGCCTGAGCAAGAAAGAAAAGGGTAAAAGGCTAAACTATGTCAGCCATATGTCTGACATGAAAGGGACCGGAGGTCTGGCTTCACGTGAGCAAATCAAACCCTTCTCGCACGTGGGGCCTGCGGACCCGCGCGACCCCTGAGGTTCTTGCCACATGCATCATACAGACCTAGGTCGGTGGAGTCATACTCCGACAACACGGCCGGCACCGGCAGCATCCAAACATGACATCGGCACGACGCACCGAACAAGAGACACACATGCAAGAGCCACAATTCCTTGATACATACCATTTCTCCAAACAGCCGGGTCCACAATACTACTTTTGGAATAGGCCAATCCTAAACACATATTAAACTGTCGGATCTCTCGACTTGACCAGCCATTAGGGGGTACTTCGCCCAGGACAAATGCTCCCTGCACCAGCCCCATGCCACAATCTTACCAGAGCACTGCCAGCTTAAGAAGGTCGGCAGGGGAAATCTGTGCTGACCGAACCCCCCCCCAAAAAAAAAGTACCTCGCTTTCAAAGTCTACACTACAACCCATTTTCGAAGAGTGAAATGTCAGGCTTTCAAGGCATGAGTACATTTGCTTCTGGGGGGGGCGCCCATCTAACCACAAATGTCCCCACAAACAAGACCCTTTTGTCCCGCACACAATATCTATTTATCGGGGGGCCGCATTTATCATTGGGCGGAAGCTATTAAAGGCACCGAGAAACCCAGATGTGCTCATCAACTTGGAAGCATGGGTCACGGCCTGACCCTACCAAAGGCAGGCACAAAGACAAGCTGTATACTGTACTAAGAGCCGCAGAATGGATTTGGCTGCATGTAGGAAGACTCAACTGTGGCATGTCTGATGCTAGAACGCATCCAACAACAATTCTTACACATTGCCGGCTAGCTTGGGCTGTCACATTTTCTGATAAGTGGAATGCCGTACCTGTGCTGAAATCTGCAAAAGTGGGCTGGGGCAGCGGCTGTGCCAACGAAAAGGAAGGTCCCCACGCAGCAAAGCACCTGGGCTACAAGAAGTTCAGCCAGGCACAGCAGAGCTTTTCAACCCAGGTAGCGCTGCCTCTGGAATAGCTGCTCAACCAGGTGGCGATGCTACTGGATTTCTCAAGGTTGCGGATGGAACCATTTGCAAAACTAGTTCAAGTGAGTAGTGCGCCACATCTTTTGCTTTGTCTCTAAAGTGCTCCCCACATGCAGGCACATTTGGAAAGCAAGGCATATTATTGAATTCAGAAAGAAAGGAAAAGTGTTGCAGTCTCACATGCGCCAGAAGGAAAGGGCTCTGGGCCCGATGAGGTCATTCAAGCACAGGGCCTTCACAACGAGGAAAACAAAGCCTGCAAAGACACATAAACACACACACACACATGCAAACACACAAACACTGGTACACATACGTGTCTAATTTATTGTGTGTGTCTATGTATGCATCTATGTATGCATATATTGTGTATGCAGTAGGTTGCACATTGTGTGAACCACATTGACGCCGTGAAGGCTGTTTGTCAAAGGGTTGGCCGTGGCATCATCAGCACGCGACCGCGTTTCAACAATGGTTGCGTTCTCTGCAGCCAAGGTTCCAGAACGAACCTGGCAAGCTCGGCTCGCCAGACATGGCTTCGCCCAACGCAAGGCTCCAACTTCAGTCACCCTTAGGCGATAGATTCCGAAGAACTGGAAGACTGTTGCAGGCCTCAAACTTGCAAGGTGCCCTGCGTTAAGCTTTTTGCTGTCCGAAACAGAGGTTGGCACCCAGGACGAATGAACCCCTCAAAGCGAGCACAAGAATCCTTGTGCTCCTGCATGCAAAAATCGCACACCCATGGTGACAGCCATGCAAGCACTTTCAACAGGTTGCAGTGAGCTCTGGCTTGCACTGACCCGTCTCGAAACAAACTAGATGAATAACAAACGTGCGGGATCGGTAGCGATATTATTTTAACATGTGGGCAGCTGGCAACCTGCGGCCATTACGGAAGCTGAGTATCTGGGGCTCACAGCTACAACAACCTACCAACCGACCAAATGACCAACCCCGGCCAGCCAAGCAAACAAAACAAACGAGCAAACGAATGAAAGCAACTGAGCCAGCCAAGCATGGAACCGCCATGACAAATGGGGCCTGGCAATGCACATGTCCAGCCTCTGAGAGTTCGCTCTGCAGGAATTATCTCTCTCCCCAACCTTCCGGCGGGCGAAATTCAGGGACGTCATTACGCGAATGTGCAGGTGAAACATGGCAGCAACCCAGGAGACTAATTTCATGTAGGCGTTTTGCCTGCCATGTTTGATATGCCCACAGGCAAACTTCAGGACCTTGAACGAAAGCTTGCAGGATGCGACCTGAAGCCAGCCCGCAAAAGAAGGGTCGCACATGCGTCTGAACATGATTCAACAAACAATATCATGTTTGATTCCTGCTTAACAAACGGTCTGCCCAAGGCCTCCACACCAACCATTCATAACGATAATCTTCTGTAACTAGTTGGCTCACTGCGCCGGACAGTTTCTGAAAATTGTCCCACCGCATAGAACGAGTCTGAGTGACATAAAACATGATCATGGTGAATAGAGCTGCACAGCTATAAAGGGGCACCCCGCCCCATGCAAGGCACGAACCCCGTAGACTCGGTCGAACTGGAATCTGAATCGCTCACAAACATCCAGTCTCAACAAACGTTACCCGTTGGCCGCATGCGTCAAGCAACTCAAGGTGGAATGCAACGCATACGCTTAAGCTCCAGGCTGGGGTATATGCACCTGAGCTGCAAACCACGCCCTCGCAAAACCTTGTTCTTTCTTAGAAACTCCAATCAGCCTAGGGCAAAGCTGCCCAACATTTTCAAGTTGCGTTTGTGATTCCTACCTTTGCCTCAGGGTTCTTGCTTCCTGCTGCCGCCCTGGACCCTTTCCAGGGCACACTTTGCAGCCATGCCTGCAACAGGTCATGGGCAACCAAAAAGTGAAGCCCCCTTTCCCAAACAAAACTACTGTTTTTGCCAAGCGGACCTTGCATATTCAGGGAGGCTGGGTTCACACCGTTCTTGTGAGCAAAAAAGTGACTTGAGGAAATCATGTTGCTCTGCAACATGTCGCACCCACCCTGTTGCAGGTCCTGTGGGGGATTAGTCCCTTTCTCTCAAAAGATGGCTGTCCCGAAGCTTTGACGACTGACTGCGCCTTCGCACTTTCTGAGTCGTGGACCATGATCCATGGCCGGATGGCTCTGCGCGTGCGAAGCTGTGCGTCTCAAGACTCGACTCCCCTCTGCCGGTTTTTTCACAGGCCGCATTTTCACAAGGTGCATGAGAGTTGTCAGGGCAAGGAACCTTGAAAAAGCAGCCTGGCTGATGAGACCTCGAATGAAGCTGCAGCCTTGGCAAACTGATGCGAATGCGCATGAAATGAGGTTGGGAGAGACAGCATGTCTTGAGCCAATGCGAGGCACAATCGCGTCGATTGAGGAAACCCAATGCTTAAAAGGCGTCTGCCCAAGCCAGTCTACACAACTTGCAGCTTAACGTCAAACTTGCAGGCCCACAAGCCCCCGTGAAGCAAGCTGCCCAAACGCCGGCGTGCCTGGTTGCCCCAATGGCGCGGATTGATTAACCCATGATATGGAGAAGAAAGTCAACATCTCCGTCCCCTTTTGCATAGGGCCTGCAAATACAATGGCCCAGGTGGTGCTGCCAACTCCTTCAACTCGGCAACAAATCTTGTTCACTTTTTCCTTTGGCTCTTTCAAACTGCCCTGCCATGGTCACTGCTCCTGTGATGCGAAGCCAGCCAGTAGCATCTTTTGTGCTTATGGCTTGTGGCTTGCTGGGACTAAAGCACCCGCCTAAGCTCCCGAGCTGCAAGCTACGGTCCCTGGCTCCGAAGACAGGAATGAGCAGGCAACGGTGTCTTCGGCCAATGGGACACAAGCCCATAGAAGCCCCGCGCCCGCTGGCTCTTTGGGTGTCAAGTGTGGGTCAATTGCCTGTCCGGATCTATGCGCGAAAGGGTCTCGTTCGTCGGAAATCGCGATCCTCGAGTGAAGCACTCCCTAGATCTCCGATCTCCTTATGCTACAGTCGTGAATCGGAAGGAATCGGGGGTTCCCACTAAAGAACAAAAAACAGGGAATCAACAGTGGAGGAAGAAAGGGCTACAAGCTCGCAACCTAACGGGGCCCGGCAACAGTCGCCCTTTCTTCAAGAAGGCCCACCCCCCCCCCCCTCCATGTCCCTTAAAAAATACCGGGCGCCAAAAAACAGGAACCCCCTACTTGAACCCAATACTGGGCGCTAAAAAAGAACGCCCTTCAACCCCCTGGGCATCCCATGTACTCCTTCGTCGGCCAGATCTTCGCTTCGGGGTCCCAAAGGGCGAAGCGAAAGAAAGCTCTCGCGGCAGGTCCCGGCGGAGCTCTGGGCAAGGGCCCGGCTCCGAGTTCTCGACGCCCGGTTTGGAGCAAGCGGCAGTTTGGCATACGCGTTCAATCCCGTGACGGAGGACACATACCCCAACCAAGAAAAGTAATTAATTACCCCATCCAACAAAGAAGACAGTGAGAATGCTACACCCAAGGTAGCCACGTTTGGCCATGGGTCAAAAGCCAAATCGTACCCCCAAGTGAACATCCGATTCAATCCCCACTAAAAAAGACTAAAATGGGTGGTGCACCTACCCCAACATGGTACCATTGGCTTTGACCCACAGCCATTTTACCAATATGGTAGTCTAAACGGGACAACACCCTCCCCCCAACCCCTTGACACAACCGACAGAATCCCCAGGCCAACGCCTGCCCTCGTCATTGTAACTAGGCCCAGCTGCAGTCAATTAGCTTAGTTGGGGGGCTCAGATGAAAGGGGTAGAGGCGTTAAACTCAGGGGGACTCGGGTGCATCCCTTTAACCTGTGTTGAAACTGCACCTGGCGAAAGCGGGGTCTGTCCGGGACTGGCTTCAAACGCTACGGCATCTGCAGAACCTCCGTCGCCCGTTTGGCTTACAGGTGCAGGGCATGACGGGCTGGGAGCTCATGACATGCTGCAGTTGAGCAAAACGGGCCATGGCATCGTCCCCATGCAGCGCATCTGAGCGAAACGTGAATAGGGCCTGCCTTCCCTTCAAAGGCTGTGGTTGTTTTTTTCCTCTCCCGCCACCCAAGGCCAGGGCTTTGAGGCCATGCGAGCTTTATGCACACCAGGGTCATGTGTCCCTGGGACTCGGGGCGATTCAAAGTAGCCCAGTGCCTGGGCTTCTTCACGCAGCGGCAGCTTACGCAGCGGCAGCTTACTGCGGCTCCCGCCGCCCAAGAACGATGGCGGGAGCCGCAAGACAAGTTTCCCAAAGGCACAATCATGACGTTCTGGCCAAGGACTTGGCGATATGGCGACTGCTTAGGAACCAAGAAGTTGTTGGAGAAGGCCCTGGCTTCTTGCTCAAGACTCAAGTTGCTTTGTGACCATGGAAGCATCAGCAAGTTCAAGAGCGGGTTCAAACATGTAAGCGCTTGCTTGCACTTCACAGAGTGCAATCCTATACATGAAGCAGCTGCTGTGCGCATGTACATGCTCGCCGAATCGCCCTCATCGTGTGATAAACAGCTCTCATCCCTTGTAGACCTGCTTGCCAGAACAAGATCATGCGCTCCGCTTTAGGCGGAAGGGGCGCCGCGCTCCATCATCTGAAGATTGGAGTAAGCTAAGTGTATGCAGTGCCCACCCAGGGCTAAAGTCAAAGCTCTGAATTTTTGCAAAGGGACCGGAAACCTAGCCTAATGAAACATGCTCCCTCCTCAGTGCACCTTGCTGACATGCTGCGTGAGAAGCTTCACTAGGACTCTGGGCCCTAGTTGCTATACAAGTCACTTGCGAGCCGACTTGGCCGACATGTCGTCACAAAGCACGTGCGCAGTGCGGACAGCAGGGTCTTGAGCACGAGCAGCCATCAAACCACATGTGATCCACAGAAAGCTGCACGGCTGCCACCCAGCCATGAAGTTGAGCCCACCTTCATCATATCTTTCATGTTTACCCATATCTTGTATTGTTTGACTCGGTATCACCAGCCGTTTGGTAGTTGGATGGGTGTATCTCACTTGCAATTTGGACCCGGGAGCAGCCAACCCCAAACCCAAAGCTGGAATCCACCAAGACAAGCAGGCGCAGGGCATTGCTCAAAATGTTGCTGAAGCGGGTCATGCCCGATCAAGATCAGTGATATACACTGTGTGGCTTGCGTCCACTCCAAACCCAGCCACTAAAGTCTGATCATGGATTATCCCCGTCTGTGTTCTCTTCGAGAGCAAGCTGGCAGTTTCTTATTCGCTACATGTTACAAACGTTTGATTTTCTTTCAACACATGCATTAATTCTTGCACTTGTTGCTTTGAAACGCGCACTGGCTTCAAGGGGGGTCAATATGACTACGTAGTCAAAGGCCTCTTCTGATTTCTTTCGACTTCCCCATGCTGGCCTCGCGCTGCCTGTATTGCGGCCCAAGGAAGCTCCAGTGAAGCACTCAAAATCAGCTAAAGCAGGCCGGGATGCCGGGACCACCTTCTGTGCAATCCAGGATCTTGATGCTTTGCGGTTAGTCTCTCAAGCAACAACTTCCACTTGCTTGGTGGCTTTGATTGGCGGCTTGCAAAAAAGGCAACGGTAGCTGAGGTAGCTCCCCATGACAAGGGCTTCAAAGACAATTGAAACTAGGCCGCCGAGCTGAGTTCTGGTAACATAGGCCGGGGATGAGAAAACAAGGTGATCGCGTGCTTGTGGGTGCCTCAAGCCTCGGGGAAGAAGCGACCTCTGCACTCAAAATGCGACAAGTTGATGGGCGGATAGCCCGAAGCCATGCCATGCCCTGGCCAAAGATGGAACAAACAACAAAGGATCAAAAGAAATGATTCGCTCTCTTTCACAGGATTCAACCGGCCATGAAACATGCTCGCACTCACTGCTAGCAAGTGCAGTGAAGGTATATCTCAATATAAGAGTATGTTTGATTGTTTGTGTGTTTGTGTGTTTGTATGTTTGTTTGTTTGTTTGTTTGTTTGTTTGTTTGTTTGTTTGTGTGTTCGTTTGTGTGATTGTTTGTGTTTGGATTGCTTCAAGGGTAGCCCAATTCCAGAACGAACAGGATCAACTGCCGGCCGACGGCCGGCCGGGGAGCATTTTGCAAGAGCTGGTCCCGCTCCCACTTGGCCCCAGCTTGGTAGGCATGAAAAGCAAGCACCCTTCCCAGCATGGTTGCACGCAGCAGCGTCTGCCCAAAAGCCTCAAGTCCCCGGTTGGTCTGACATTCATTCAGAACCTACGCTGCTATCCCTCCAGCACGGTGACACTACCCTTGGAAATTGATTGGGGGCTGTATATAGGTCGCTTGAATTCATAGGGCATTAGAAGCAACAACTGCTGACACAAATGTAACTTGCCGTTGCGATACATGACCTATCAGGACCTATCATTGCTCCTGAACCCGAATTGGGGCTTATGGCAGGGAGCTTTCAAGGAGCTTTCAACAAAAGGGCCGTTTTACTGTTGATGTCCAAATCCCCTCATGCCCACTCAACAAACAATCCACTAAAGGCAATGGTTTCGCACAACATCCTGATGTCCAGGCTGCTCTTGGCCAGAAACCATGCAGGTCACGGCATAAACTGCTCGCCAAGGTCGCCTGCGCTGCAAGCCCAGTAGTTGCAACTCTGCCCTAGGACGAAGAAGCAGCCGTGTGACTGGGGCAACATCCTTTCGCTTGCGTGATAGGCTCATGATCAAATTCACTGGCCATCCAGTTCAACGAGCCGCGCGCTTGTACTGTGTGGTCAGCCCAAGCTCACTTTCAGAAGTTAGGGCGTGGCTATAGCTGATAAGATGTGTGAAGGATGCTTTGGGCTGGAAGGCGCAATGCAAGCAACAATGTTCACAGCCTGGGTGGGCGCAACAACAAGCGTAGTCATGAATAACCACAAACCAGCATGGTGCCCTCACAGAAAGGCTTCAAGCAGCAAGTCTTCCCTCCATTTTAGGGGGAAAGTTCTTGTTTCCCCCATGCGTCGAAGCACATCATGCTGCTCATGGTTTGCTGCTGAGCCTGGGACTCAAATCCATGCTGGTAGCCCCTGAAAGCTATTTCCGACCGCTGCAGCAATCCACAAAAAAAACACTGGTTTCAGCTTCCCTCCTCGGGCATTCTTGCTCTCGGGCTTGCTGATTGACCCGGAAGATCGCATGCACTACCGGCAGCTATGAGCGTTCACTGGCCCTTCAGA